CCCCTCTTGGCAAGCCAATAACAAATGGCTTGCTTGGAGAGAGCTCAGGTTGGAACTTTATGCTAAGAACATAAGAAGATCCTGCTGGATCAGGTCAATGGCCCGTCCAGTTCAGCATCCTGTTCACACAGAGGCCAACTAGATGGGAAGCCAGCAAGCATTACCTGAGTGCAACAGCAGCACTCTTCCATCTTGCAGTTTCCAGCAACTGGCATTTGGACCATGTCTTGTTTCATGGCAGCAGAGCAGAAGCAGGGAAAGAGCAATGTGCCTTGATTTTAGCCCTGCACACCAGCATGTTAAAAGCTCCCCTTCAAACCTCAAGTTAGTATAGTGGTGGTTTAAAGTAGGGCTGGGGGACCTTTCTGGTCTGGTGGCCAGATCTTTATGTCCCCCAGCCCCCATGGGCCAACTCTGACCACCCACACCTCAATCATCTGATGCCACAATGACATTAGGTGACAGGTGGGATGTCCCAGCCACTTGTCAAAGTTGACCTGTGTGTTGTGGAGAGAGATCAGCTTGGCCAGACAAAACAGCCCATCAGCTGAGCCCTGGCTCCAAGCCCTGGTATGTGCATCAGGCCATAAATAAAATGCATAAAGCCCAATGCTGTCATGAAGCAAATGATTCAGCAGCACAAAGACCACTTCTCTAGCTCTGCCATCTCCAAGGCCTGCTGGGAAATAAAGGACTTGACATTGAAAAGCTATTGACAGGGAGCCACCCAGATCTCCAGTGGGAGGGAGTTCCACAACTCGGGGGCCATAACAGAAAAGACCCTGCTCAAGGTTGTCACACTATGAACCGAAGCCCTTGATGGAACTACAGGCAAAGCCTTGCTGACAGAACGTATGGCCCAGGTTGAGGTGCTCCCACAAATACTAGGTTCCCAAGCAAATTCTTCACGTGGGATGTACAGCATCACTTGGAGAGTATCTCCAATGGGACGATTTCTGATCTTCTTGCAGCATAGGGAACTGTCTTGTGCCCCTCAGTGCGGAAGCCTCTTCCACATCATTAGAGCTGGGGGGAAAGGTAGTTTCAGCTAATCGCTGGCTGTCAACATGGGAAATTGCTGACAAGCCTGACTGACAAACTGCCCATTTGAAAGCTTTCAAGAAGACAAAGATACACCTGATGTGTTTAGCAAATAGACCTTTCTGGGGGTGTTACAAAGGAACATGAGAAGCTTTTAGACAGGAACAACGCCCATCTAGAGGTAAAAGTGGTCACAGAGCACCAGGCACAGCTTGGCTTCTTGGGGGAACTGGTGTGGAAATGACAGAAGCCGAAAAATCACAACTTAATTGAATCAGATGGGGAGGAGGATAGGAAATGATTGCATAGCAAGTTCAGTGGGTTGCAGCAACTGAGAATCATTGCTTTATGGCTGAGGTTGTGCTTCATCGTTGGCAGTGCTGACTCAGTTGTGCAACCAAAATGGGAAAGGGCTAAAGCTGGGTCGTTTCCACACCCCACACCCAGTCTGGGTCAAATCAAAGCTGCTTTGGGGGGAAACGCATCAGCACTAAAAGACAGGATACAGAATAGATGTGCATTGTGGTTAACAAAGGGCACCCCCACACTGCGTGATAATGTGCATGGATGCAGGGACCTTTTTGAGGTGCTGTACACACAATGTCACTCCGCTGTCATCTGTGTCCCACACTATTTGTCAGTCTAAAGCTGGAACAATTGTGATATGTTCTGTGCCACTGAGAACGCATTTCTCAGGTGCTTGCAGCAGAGATGTGTCCACCTTCTCAGGTCACATCCTTTGGGGCAGACCCATGGACTTTTGAGGGCTGTGCCCTTTCACCATGTGCAACTTGCCTATGGGTGAAAGAGGCAAAAGAGGAAAGTATACAAGCTTAGCTGCCTCAGTATACCCAATATATATCCTTTGAATAAATTCCTGCATTGCAGAGGGTTGAACTAAATGGCACTTGGAGGTACCTTCCAACTGTACAATTCTATGTTTCTATGACCAATTCCACAGAACCACAATGTAACAAAAGCATTTCTCATTCACTAGTCCCAATATTCAAAACATAAGTTGTTTTTTTGAAAAGTAAATTGCTTCTTGGCCTACTCTGTTTAGGACCAAACTAGATTTCACAAACTAAATAGGTCTTTGCAAGTTTTAGAAAATCCAAAGGAGCTGATAATGATCCACATCAGATCTCCATGCGCCTCCCTTCCTTCAAAAGCAAAGAGGGGAGCTTGCTGGGAACAGAAAGAGAGGGTCATCACCAATGAAGAGCACACCAGTGCCTTTCAGAACCAGATAAACAAATTCCACAGCAGAAGCAGATATAAAAGCCCTTGGAATAATTTAGTATCACTGGAAAACTAGGACAGCAGTTAACAGGCTCTAAAATTTCCTGCCTCGTCAGCAGAGGAGAGAAAAAAGTCTAGGGAAGCCCAGGTCTTTCAGAAGACAGCCCTGCAAATCCAGTCTGCTCGCGTCACTCTCTGTGGAGCCAGCCAGGGCCAGATTTGCTGGTGGGGAGGGGGCTTGGGGGGAGGAGCTCTCTCCTGGATATTCCAAGTCCCTTTCCTGAATATGCAACACTCATTTAAACAGAAAGCCTGTAGCTGCCAGCTGACATCTAATTTTTAACATAAGCCAAATTTCAGCTAAGCAAGTTCTGAAGGACCAACTGCATAAAGTAGATCAGATGAGCCTGGTGGATCCAGTCCAGGATCCTACTCTCAAGGCTGCGAAGCAGATGATTCAATGGGGAGCCCACAAGTGTGTTGTTCTTGTATTAATAACTTGAGAATCCGTCGGGGGGGGGGGCAACTTGAATAAAACGGGGGGGGGGGCAGGTAAGTCCCCACGGCCCCTAGAAGTTGGCTCCCATGAAGTCCATAAACTTAAGGTAAACCTTTTAAACTGTTTTCAGAACGAGAAGTTTCTGCTCAAAAAATGCATAGCTTCTCTGTTGCTGAATCATTTCCCTGCCCAGAGACCCTTCCAGTCTCACCTGGTTCACTTAAGCAAAACCCACTTAAAGTGAAAGGGTCCTCACAATGAACAGGACCGGAGTAAATTGACAACAGCCCAAAGGAAAAACTCAACCATTGTTTGCACTGGAAGAGGGGGCTCTTTGTGTCTCAGCTCGGAAAAAAGTGACTGAAACATGTTTGTTAAGAGAGGAAGTCCTTGGGATCAGGACCCATGCTGGGGTGGGGACATATGAAGATGTATTTGTGCTGAAAAGGTCTCAAAGCATATAGATAGATAGATGATAGATAGATAGATAGATAGATAGATAGATAGATAGATAGATGATAGATAGATAGATAGAGATAGATAGATGGATGATAGAGATAGATAGATAGATAGATAGATAGATAGATAGATAGATAGATAGATAGATGATAGATAGATAGATGATAGATAGATAGATAGATAGATAGATAGATGATAGATAGATGATAGATAGATAGATAGATAGATAGATAGATAGATAGATATAGATGATAGATAGATAGATGATAGATGATAGATAGATAGATAGATAGATAGATAGATAGATAGATGATGATAGATATATAGATGATAGATAGATAGATGATAGATAGTTTGCTTGCTATCCATACCTACCCCTTTGCCCTTCCTCAATGGCAGTTGGTGTAGCTGTGGAGCATATTTGTCATGGTAAAATCTGGGTGCGGGGCTACTCTGCCACCCAGCTCGTCAGACTAAGTCCGCGGGTCCCTGCGGAAGAAAATGAGCTCAGCCGGAGACAGAAGCAAACTGCAGAAGATCCAAGTTTATTGCGCAACAGGTTCAAGGCGAGATTGAACAGCGAGAAAGGGGTGACATGAACTTTTGAAACTTCCCTCCATGTCCCAGAATACAGTGCAAAATACATCCCAGTTACACCATGAATACATTAAGAAGAGGTTGGGTTACACAGATTACATCATGAATACATTAAGAAGAGGTTGGGTTACACAGGATTAACATATGGAGGAGGGAGGGGGGAATATGCAGAGCTGGAGATATGCGCGGATAAGCACCTCTTGAGTACCGGTGATGAGAAGACAATGGTCCATGTATGCATAGTCTGCCACCTGGCATTGCCCGGAGGAAAGGCTTGGCAGAGTGATTTGACAGGATTAGGGTCTTGACACCTTGCTTGAGGGATTATGGAGGACAGGGGAGGTGTCATGGAGTCCTAGAGAAATTGAGCAAATTGGCACGTTGATTTTCTATGAATTTTATAGATTTTAGTCCCTTTTGACATTGACAATTGGAAATAAATGGATATATTGTAGCGAAGAAGGAGGTGAAGAAGACATGCCCCCCGATTCCGTATCAATTTGTATGTATATGGGAAGAAATACATCATTTAAAAAAACCTGTTAAAACAATACTCAATATCAAGACAATAAAAATTGTGAAAACACACACACACACCTAAGCCCCAAACATAACAGGAGGTGCTTCCAGATGGGGGCTTAAGAATGGGTCATTGAGGCATGGCAAATTGGGATTTTGACAACAGTTACCAGAAAGGGAATGTTCAGATTAAATGGCAGGGGGCGGAGGACACAGGCTGGCATTTTGATGCTAACAGTGTTGTGTGGACTCTGCAAATTAATAAATAATACAAATAATTTTAAAAAATGCTTGCCTGAAGAGCACCCATTCCACAATCAACACCCATCTGGAACCACCCAAGGTCTTTGCAGCAAATTCTTTGGCCTCACCCAGACCACATTTTCAGATACCGGTACTTGGAAAGAGAATCTGAAGAGTCATTAGGAACTGAAGGTGCTCAGCACCACCCAGGACAGACCCGAAAGATGGTGGGAAGGAGGAGAAAGAAAACCTGTAGGTGGGGGAAGGAGATCAAAGGGTGCTTTCATCCGATTTTCTCTCTCCCATTTAACAGTTGAAAGATTGGCTCTGGCGTCCAGCTGGGGTCTAAGTCCTGCCTTAGGCACTTATCCATGACAAGCCAAAGGCAACAGGAAATGGAAAGGGCTGTCCTGCCAGAGTTAATTTCAAGTGTCTCCCTGCCCCAGTGGAGATTGCTTCAGAAGCCGAGATCAAAAGGGGTTTTGAAGTAGCAGAGAGCATTTTGAAGGCACAAAAGTGACTTTGAGGCTGAGGGAAGGATGCCCAAAGGAAACAACGGGAAGGCTCAGAGAAGTGTGTGGTGAAAGGTAAGAGAGGCTGCTCCTACTTTATTAACTTATTAATTATCTCACCTTTTCCTCCAAGGAGCTCAAGGTATCATTACTGGTTCTCCCTGTCCTCAATCCCCCCCAACAGCCCCGTGCGGGATGTAAGGCTTAGAAGCAGCAATCGACCCCCAAGGCCACACCCATTGAGCTTCATGGGCGAGTGGAGCGAAGCCTGATGTCTCCCAGGCCCTAGCCCAACACTCTAACCATTACACCACACTGGCAAGTGTTTGGAAAATCCTTAATCATCCAGTATATCTGGCATTAAAAAGGATGCTTGCAACTAGAGGCACTGTTACTGATAAAGGACAAGCAAGAGCAGGTGGACAGGTGCTAGAGTGATGTGCTGCCTGCCCTTCTTATTCTCATTCAAAAGCTGCCACCTGGTGACTGGTCCATCTCACAGTCTGTAGGATAAGCCCCCTCATATAACCTAATATAGTCTAATTAGTTCATGAGAGGGTTAATACTATAGAGGAAGCTGCTTGGGCAGGCTTAGCTGTATCACTTCCCTCTACTTTGGGAGGAAATGAGTAATCAAGCTTGTAATTGTAACCCCAGTTCACCTGAGAAACTCAGCATGTGAAGAGGTTTGAGCTGGTTGCTCCAGCTCAACCACAGGGCTCTCACCAGCTACTCTTGAGTTCCTATACCAATATTCTAGGAACTTTAACCACTTTGTAACTAAGCTAGGTTTTATTGCCTGTGCAACTTTTCTGAGCGATGTATGGGAAAGCATATGAATCTGGCCTTTGGAGAGTTTGTAAGTAGACTATTTTTAACTTCCCAAATGTGTGCTCTTTTTCTATGCTTGGGGAAGACAGAAACTTTGGAAAGAAACTTTTTAAGGGGAAATTTTGGAACTGACTTGGAAGGGCACATTTAAAGGTCTAACAGCCTATATTTCCACATTTTACTTTGCTGCATATTTTGTGACTTTAAATTTGTGCTGGGGTTCTCTCACCAAAGAGTACAGTGGAACCTCAGTTTTCAAACGTAATCCGTTCCGGAAGACCGTTCGACTTATGAAACGTTTCAAAACCAAGGATCAATGGGCAGTTGGCGAAATCCATTGGAAAAATGGAAAAACATACAGCAGAAGCCGTTTGACTTCCGAGGCGCATTCGAAAACTCCGGGTTTTCGGCTTTCAGGTTCCGAATTGTTTGGCTTCTGATACGCTTGAAAACCAAGGTTCTGATGTACTTGGATCTTGGCATCCGTGAATTCATTTGCAAAAAATTTCGTATGCATGACTGCAATGTCCTCCACACACAAAGTTCTATCATTCTATAAGCCTCCAGATGCACATTCATTTCAATAACGAAAGACTCAGTATAGAAAACTGTTGGGTTGAAATAAACGACAGACGAGTAGCAAGTGTCATCTGGGAGGCACCTCTCGAGGAGTCTCTTTTATTCAATATTACAGCATTGCCACGTATGTGCTGGTTGCTGATTGGTTAACACAAGTACAAAGCAAAGGTTACATATAGGCATTAATCACCAATAGATTAAAGGCTGGGAAAGGGAGCACAGAACTAGACAGGCATGAAAACCTCCTAATTAAAGTATAACTAGTGATTAATATACCAAGACTTAAACAATTACATTCCAGTAGATGTGGTCAACTATGCAGTAAGAACAGGTCAGAGTATCAATGTGAACTGAACTGAACATTCTGGGATGATGAGGGAATGTCTTGGTATAAGAACGGTTTGTGCAGCATCATGTACAGAAGCAAAGCTTAGAAGCAAAGCTTCCCATCATGCCACAGTCATGTGCAGAAGCAAATGTGTTAAGGCAAATGTGTATGAGCAAATGTGTAGAGGCAAATATTCCTATCAGAAAACAAATCGGTCAATGGTAGCAATAAGTTTCTTTCCTTTGTGGATAACCTGTGGCCATCCAGATACTGTGCTGGCTGCACAATGGGATTTTGGAGCAACATCAGGAGCACCTACAGTTCCTCACCCTCAGCTCAGTCCCATGGAAAGACATCTAAACATTAGCCATCAATTGCAATTTTCATTTGGCATCTAAAGTCAAACTAGCTTCTAGAACCTTCCTGGTGTCTATCACACTCCTTACTCTTTTTGCATATTCCCGTTGCTTCTTAAAACCTCAAAAGGCACATCAGGGGACAGGGATTTAATTTGTGTGTGTGGTCAGAGGGCTGATGGGAGCACATCAGCACTGCCTGGGGCTGATGGGAGTTGTAGTCCAAAACATCTAGAGGGCACCAGGTTGGTGAAAGGGGGAAGCATGTGGCATAGGCATGGAGCTATGTAGCCTAGTAGTGGCTCCCTGGAATCACCTAACCTTGGTCCTGAGAACAAGACGATTCTTTTGAGAGTCTCTCTTGAACTGCCTGCAAGTCTGCAGTGGCCCCTGACGCATCACCCAAAAAGGGGGCAGGAGGGGCAGAGAAGACACAGAAGTGTATAAACGTTGCATATGCTGAGATGCAAGTGTAGCAGTAGCTGCTATGATAGAACTACAAAACACCCACCGTAGTGGAAAGGCTCTGACCAGGTGACAACAAGGATCCCTGTGCTGGTCTGCTGTTCCAATCCTGTTGAAGGCCTCTCCTGTTAGCCCTTCATAGGGTTACCATATTTTTCGTCCCATAGGATGCTCTGTCCCATAGGACGCACCTAGTTTTTTGGGGGGGAAATAAAGGAATTTCCCCCCCTTCCCCCCCCCAAAGCTGGATGGCGGCGCTGTGCCTCCCTGCTGTCCTCCGAGCTTGTGGGGCTGGCCGATGTCTGCCCGGCGTGAGGGGCGCTCTGTTTCAGGGTGCCTCGCCCGCTGGGCGGCAGGCTGCTATCCGCAGCGTGGGGAGCCCTGCGGGGAACTCCTGCAGGGCTCCCCATGCCGCGGATGTCTGTCCGGCACACGGGGCGCTCTGCTTCAGGGCGCCCCGCCCGCCGGGTGGCAGGCTGCTATCCGCAGCCTAGACATCCCTGCGGGACCTCACGCAGGGCTGCCTAGGCTGCGGATGTGTTCCCGAAGTGCCGGGCGCTCTGCTTTCAGAGTGCCCGGCGCTCCGGGAAGCAGGCTACTATCCGCAGGGCTGCCTAGGCTGCGGATGTGTTCCCGAAGGGCCGGGAGCTCTGTTTTCAGCGCGCCCGGTGCTCCGGGAAGCAGGCTACTATCCGCAGCCTAGACAGCCCTGCGGGAAAAATACGGTACTTCTATTGAACATGGACTTGAAACAGAGATCCCTTCGGTCCAAGCCTTCCTTCAAATGCATGACTGCCCTTCATAAAGCAGCTTACGTGACGCTCCATGCGGTTTCCTCCTTGTAGTGCAGGGAGCAAGGAACTGGTGTCAGGGGTTTAAGGTTCCTGCTTCACGCTGTGCAGTGCCCAACACCCATATATTCTTTCTTTTTCCTTTCTCCTCCTGTGATGAGGCTGCATTTTAATGTTTTAATGTTGTATTTTAATCTTGTTTTTTAGGTTTTATTTCAATCAACTTGTTTTTATTGGTTGTTAGCCTTCCTGAGCCCGGTCTTGGCTGGGGAGGGTGGGGTATAAATTATTATTATTATTATTATTATTATTATTATTATTATTATTATTATTATTATTATTATTATTTTCCACCATGGGCTGTGAGTAAATGGCACTCCTTGGGCCTCTGGGTTCAGTGACCTCCAGTTGCTGATCCCCACCACAGAAGCTAATCAGAAATATATTATGCTGCTGTTCTGCATTTTAATCAGTGTTTTTAATTTACTCGTGTCTTTAAACTTTTAAAAACTGTGTATCTTATCTGATTTTTAGACAGTTTTATTATATTAATGCTTATGAGACCGTGCAGATTATTTTCTGCTGTGACCTTTCTTTCTGTTAGTTGCCTTGAGTGTTGTTGTTGTTGTTTTATATGGAAGTAAAGTACAAATGGACGCAGACCCTCCAACATTTCTCCAATGAAAATAGGGACATCCAATTCCATAAAGATAATTTTACTATGTATACCCCACAAAACTTACTGGGTTGCCCCAGCCACCCTAAGCAGCTCCCAGCATATGTAAAAATGTAATAAAACATTAAACATAAAAAAGCCTTCCCTATACAGTGGTACCTCTGGATGCGAACAGGATCCATTCCGGAGCCCCGTTCGCATCCAGAAGTGAACACGGCCCGCATCCGCGCAGGTCGCGATTTGCCACTTCTGTGCATGTGTGTGACGTCATTTTGTTTTTTTAAAAAAGATATTTATTAAAGTTTCGAAAGTTATACAAAAAGAAAAACAATAATACAAACAAAACACAAACAAAACAAGTATACTTTCCCTCCCCTATTTTCTTATAACTTATTTCCCCGACCTCCTCATACCTCCCCTTTCTGTATTCCAAGTTCTAATTCATTAGTTTCTGTTTCATTCATTAGTTTCTCCCTTAATTTCTGTTTAATTTTTGACCTTTCTTTGCTTTTTACCTAATCATTACAGCTGAAAACCCCTTAGTTTCTGAGATCCACATCGTTCTAACATTCATTAATTTTGCAATGTTTCCTGAGATAGTCTTTAAATTTCTTCCAATCTTCTTCCGCCGTCTCTCTTCCCTAGTCACGGATTCTGCCGGTCATTTCTGCCAGTCCCATGTTGTCTATCACCTTCATCTGCCATTCTTCCACGGTGGGTAAATCTTGTGTCTTCCAATACTTTGCAATAAGTATTCTTGCTGCTGTTGTAGCATACATAAAGAATGTTCTATCCTTCTTTGGCACCAATTGGCTGACCATACCCAGGAGAAAAGCCTCTGGTTTCTTCAAGAAGGTATATTTAAATACCTTTTTCATTTCATTATATATCATTTCCCAGAAAGCCTTAATCCTTGGGCATGTCCACCAAAGGTGAAAGAATGTACCTTCAGTGTGTGTGATGTCATTTTGACCATCTGCTCATGCGCAAGCGGCGAAACCCAGAAGTAACGCACTCCGTTACTTCCAGGTCGCCGCAGTGCACAACCC